ACCAGCCCCTTCAAGGCGGACCGAGACCGAGACCAATATGGTCCGAGACCGAGACCGCTGATAATAAATAACAATAGTCGAAATAAAAAAAACAAGACACGTTATTATAGTTGAAAAATGTAACCTTTCTATTCACAAAGAATACAGACCAAATTTTGACCAGTGGCAATGTTTACAAATTGATACATGACACCTTACTTGAGCAAAAAGTAGTTACACTTAAGAAATATGGGCTTTGACATGTTGTCTACACCCAATCGTGACAAAAGTAAAAAGTTCAAGGTAGATGTTTCATCTGTTATAGGAACTCGGATCCTAAACTCCACAGTCACCCCCTTGGTTTCAGCTATGACTTCTAACGGATATTTAAAGATGCAATTTTAATTTTACATTGTGCCTCTTTTTTTCCTAAAATAAATATAGGAGTTAACTTCTAACAAGAATTGTGTACTTGATTTTAAAAAATGGGAGCTAGAAAATGTTGAATTAATTTTTAAATTTTTGTCATAGAATGTGGACTTGTACATGTAGACCCACAAGTTGCAAGGTGGTAGCCAGAATGTGCCAGATATGGATTTTTATTTTTTTTCTGAACGGGATTTTTTATTTTTGAGGAATAATGGGGTACTTTAAAATGAGCAGCCAGAAAATGGGGTCTCATCATACACTCTCATGGCAACAGTGAGTGGTAACTGGTAAGAGTGTGTGAGTTCAAAGCTGGAAAATCAGGTAGAAAAATTTACTTTTTCTTCAAAATACTGTCCCAAATTAAAGAGAACATTGTGTGGGGTCGAAAATATAACTAACTTGAAGCACCTCATTTATTATCAGAACACAAAATGCAAGTGATTACGCCCACAGGGGTGGGCTAAACTACACAATCCCCAAAAATGGTTGACCCTTATTGCATAAATTGTTACAAGTTTATACTTTGCTTTATGTGGCCGACTCAACAGATAACTGCCGAACTTGTTCCAAATCGTTCAGTGACTGGTACTGCTGCAGTTTTACATGTACTTTGGGAACTTTCCAACGTGCAGTCGAGTCCAAACCAACCGCGATATATAACAAGCTTGATCTACGGGCTAGCAAATGTTTTAAATAACAACGGTACTGAACGAAGTGAACACAAAGTAATCGATCGAGCTGTAAAAGCTACATATTGCCGGTCTCGACCCGAGACCAGCCAAAATATCGAGACCAAAGGGGACCGAGACCGAGACCAAGACCGAGACCACAGCTTCCGAGACCGAGACCGAGACCGAGACCAGCAAAAAGTGGTCTCGAGACCGGTCTCGAGACCGATACCGGTCATGAGACCTACAACACTGCCCATGATGAGACTTCGTCCAACCTGGGCTAGACTAACGACAAGTTAAACATAAAAAACAACACGGGTCCAACAGCATGCTCAGTCTAACTTTTTACTAGCCCCATAAATGTGGCCTATTTACTGGACTGCCTCCGTAAACATAGGCCACACATCCACATGTACAAAAAACGTGTCGACTTTGCCAAATTTTGATTTTCACATTTAGGCTTACTTTTAGATTTTTTTTGCTTTAGAAGCATTCTCACCCTCTATATAGGCTAATCAGAAAGTGCTGCCTTTTTCAGATGTTTAATTTTTGTGAAATTTCATGTTGAAATTTTGATACGCAAAACGTGTGCAAATGTATCTGGAAATTTCACGAAAAATGGACAGATACATTTGCACACGTTTTGCGTATCAAAATTTCAACATGAAATTTCACAAAAATTAAACATCTGAAAAAGGCAGCACTTTCTGATTAGCCTATATAGAGGGTGAGAATGCTTCTAAAGCAAAAAAAAATGTAAAAAGTAAGCCTAAATGTGAAAATCAAAATTTGGCAAAGTCGACACGTTTTTTGTACATGTGGATGTGTGGCCTATGTTTACGGAGGCAGTCCAGTAAATAGGCCACCTTTATGGGGCTAACTTTTTACAAGAGAATCGGTAGAGAGATCGATTATTCGTCAGTTCAGGCAGACTTTACTAAAATTCGAGTTTCATTCAATAGTTATTCTTCAAGAAATACTCACGGGAATATGACCAGTTTTCCTACCTCCAAAGTCCAATCAAGTTTATCAGGGTACTTCAAGTTCAAGCATATTGAGCTGAGCACACGTTATGTACACACATACATGTATGTATTTTTTTTTTTACCATTGGCGCAAGAGGGCGCAAAAAAACTGAGCCGCAAACATAATGTGCTGTTCTGCTGTCAAAATAGCAAATTAGTAGACAGCAGTTTCAAAGTTTAAGGTTCAATTTGTTTAGCTGTTTGTTTTTCTGCTACCAGAAATGCAGATTGTGGTTTTCTTCAATGGCTAGCAGATCAAAAGTGCATGGACATCCGCATTTCTGTTGTCAGAGCAGCAAAAAATCAGATCCAAACAAGATGAAATTTGCGTCGGGCCGGGGGTGATGTCAATTATAAGGCAATTATTGCCATCAACTTGTGACATCGACATTGCGGCAAATCCACCAGTTCAGCACACAATAAAAACCAGCTAGTACGCCAATTTATTCATCCCCGAACTACGAGAGACTGGAATTTAAGAACAAAATTGAAAAACTTCCCCCTTTGCATGCCAACACTCAAATCAATACTACTCTCATCTCTCGTGGAGGTTTGGGTTTTCTGGAGAAGGCCTACCCCCCCCCCCAAGTTTTTTTTGGAGGTTTTCAAGAAAATGGAGAAATGTGAAATATATTTTCAGGTTTCAGAAAACAGAAAGGCAGAAGACGGCACATTTAATTCGTATTGTCTTAACACTGAGCCAAACATAAACAAAACAAAATCATTAACAATTGCTAAACAAATAGACTAACCTCATTTAAATGCAATAAGCCATAATTGTATTAATAATAGTACACCTCAACCAACAATAATGGGGGGCGGCTCGACGGGATGACGGTATTAAAAGGGAGCGACAGTTCATCAAACAATAACACGTTAAAAGTGTTAATCTTTGGAGGTACACTAGAGTCCCACAGCTGATGACGAACTTTTACTATGATTGCGTTAATTGGAGGTAAACAAGCTCGTGAAAGTTTCTTTGGTTAAAGTCAAATGCAAGTAGTCCAAGCAGTGAAAGACGATGTTTCTGATTGGACAGTGCTAGAATCCTTGCGTTTGGGGACTGTTTTCTTATTACGAAAAATTTTGCGGGATATTTGTTTTGCCTTTTCAGCATCCAGCAATAAATCGGGGGTTCAAAATTTAAAAAACTTTTTAAATGTATCCATATACTCTCACCGTCATAAAGCAAACACGAAAATAGAGCGCAGGGAAAACAAGACATTTTATCACAATTTGAAATGGAGATTTGTGCAAATTCGTCCGAAACCAAATTGCACTTTATTAAACAAGCACTATTCCGGAACTTTAATACCGGTATGATTTCTTCATTTTTAGAAAATGTTTTGAAAATTAATGTTCTCCAACATTTTCTTAAAATTAAATAGGCATACAGGATCGTAGAATCGTTTGTGTTTCATTCCTTAATTTGTTCGTTTATCAAATCAGAAAAAGGTTCAAAACATAAACCGTTGAATATCAAGCCTACACTTTTGGAGAAAACAGTTGGAAAAAAACATGCCCAACTTTTTGTTCGCGAAAGACGCCCGGCGATTTCGATTGCAGAACTTTTCATTCTAAAAATCAGTCGATTGACAGATCGTTGACAATCACCTATTTCTTGATTTCTTTGGGGGTGTTTAACCAGACTATGTACGATCTTGAATCCAGTCAGCTTTTCGATAATAATTTGGTAGGTTGCTTTTGGGATGAATGCAAAATGATGCTACTTGCCTCTAAAACAATGTAAAAGGACCCCACCCCTCCCCTCCTCCCCCCTCAAAAAAAAAAAAAAAAACAGGGGAGAAACATGCATCTCGTTTTGCTCCAAGGATTGGCGGCCGAGGTATAATCACCGTGAAGCTGACACACAGTGATGAGGGAAACAGAGTTCCTGCGAGCAAGGAGCAACAAAGTTCAGCCAAGACTGGCAGACAGGAAGCTGCCTTTCTTAATTTACCATCGAATCAGTTTGTTACTGAATAAATTGGATTAAACCCAAACGGTCCTTTTCAATTCAAGGCCAACACATTTCCAAACATATATTAGAATCTCCTGGAGCTCCCACAGTAATTACCTGCATCTTTGTTCCTTAAGGGCTTTTGACGGAAAGAATGTTGCAACATGACGCCACTTTTTTCGTCATCAACTCAATGAAGGACAGTCATTGCAAAAACGATAAGACATGAATCTGAGACTGAGAAAAAACATTTCCAATGTTGTTAGGCAATACTTTATTTTTCTTGACTCTCCATAGACTTTGTACACAATCGCTGAAGTGGGGTCAGGTTGCAACACTCTTTCCCTTCTGGCGTCTTTTTTTACGTAATGAGGACTCCCTTACACAAATAAGGTGAGTTCCTTTGCAAAAAGTATTTTCCCTCTCAGTGCCGAGTAGGCCTATAGGTCTCCCCTTGATTTGCTTGGGACTGTGCAGAACTCTAACAATAAGTCTTCAATAAATTATATACTTTCTGTGACTATACTTCCATTTCTTAATACTTCAGAGGCACAAGCCTCAACACAGAACGGATCCAGACACAATCATTATTGTTATTATTTATTCCCCCAAGCTACATGAAGTTACAAAGTGAAATTAAAAGGGAAAACACTAAAACATAAATACTCGGGATTACAATGTAAATAACTAGAACCAGAAAACAAACCAAAGTTTTGCAAATTAAAACAACTATGCAATCAAATAAAGCAAAAAGAAGTAACTAATTAATTAGATACAATAAATTAAGAAGACATTGTATAGTTAATAATTAATAAAACGAAATGAAAGCACGTTCAAGGTCCATTCATTATTATTTTTAAGTCCACAGCATCACATCATCATTAATAATTACTGGTTAAGAAAACAAAATCTTGAGTGTAGCATTCACATTTAGGCAAATTCGCCATTTTGTTTAAAATAAAGGTAAAGATGAGATCATAAGTATTTTTTAATCATCTCGAATTAAAGGTCTCAATTCAAATTAGAAAACCAGAAGTTTCCTCTCATGATCTTATCAAGTATTCCAAGTGATTTGGAAGCATGAACCAATTTTTAACATTTTAAGTCTAGACTAGTGTCCAACTTGAAAAACAAGGACAATATTAGCAGACTGGATGCAAGGCTGTGAAAAGAGTTTACGGAGAAACCTATGACAAGATTTGAAACATGTTACAGACCAGTACATTTTGGCAGGATGTAAGATGAATAAAACACTGCTGTCATGCTTCAGTCAAATTACAAAACACATGATGGATTTTCTACATTGTAACTGCTATACACTTTAAAAAGACTTGTAGAAACCTCAGAAAATTGTGTTGTTTTTTAAACTTGTGCAACTTAAGGTAAATCAGGTTTAAAAATTTCGCATAATATCTACAAGCCTACATTTTGTGCAAGTTCACAATTCTACAACAAAAAATTCTTAATTAACTTTTCTTTTGAACTTGCAACAATTGGAATATTGCAACAATTGGATCTTATGGAAGATCGCAACAATTGAATCTTACGAAAGATCGCAACATTTAGATCTTATGGAAGATCACAACAATTGGTCTTATGGAATAACAAACAATTGGATCTTATGGAAGAATATTAAAAATAAAATCTGAGATGGTGACCATCCGACCCATGGAATGACCTAACTTCTTGTGACCTCAAAACCCTCATCATGAAGTAGTTTTCATGTTTTTTTAACCAGATGACAAACTGAAAGAGGAGTAATCATTAATTGCTGTTTTGTGCCCCATTTACATTATTTTGAATCCTTCCAGTCACTTTCTTTATGCTAATTTCCAATTTTTTGTGTGAGCAAAACAGTGATGATATCTCCAACATGGAGCTTTAGCGTTACAGCATGAAAGTTTAATTTTGGATAATACGACACAGGAAGAATATTTGCCTTTGCTGTTAACATTCGCCGATGAAAACAGTCAGTCCCACTTGTGCAAACGCTGCCAACGTTGGTATTAAAGATATATAAGCATTTGTTTGCATATTACCCCTGGTCTTACTGCCTATAGGAAGAACAGCCGGTCAGCCAACTCAATCCGCGGTTCTTTGTGCAGGCTTTGGCCAACAAGGAAAGACAGCTTGTGAGCGTAGGGGCAGGGGGCCGGTACACGAATGGTTCCCTGCAAAACAACAGAAGAAACAGACAAGATGAGTATGGAACTAGACCACTGAACTCTATAATTACTGTACTGTCTTATGGCATGAGCATACTGAAGCAGCTGTCTGCCATCTCTGTTCCCTCATGACATGTCTTATGACATGCACATACTGAAGCAGCTGTTCTCTCATGACATGTCTGTGCAAGAGACATGGGATATCTGTGCAAGTGCCACGTCAAAGTAAACTGATCACCTCTATGGCAAATAAGTTGCTGTGAAATTTGCAAAAATTGAACACATTTGACTCCTGCCAAATTTTGCCAAGACTGCTTTGGGTTATTATTGGGTGGCATGGCTGGCAAGTGTGTAAAGCACTCAACTTTCACCACTGTAGCCCGGGTTCGATTCCCAGCTCGGGTCATTATGCGAGTACAATTGTTCATTGATTCTCTTTTCTTCCACGAGGGTTTTTCTTCGGGCTCTTCGGTTTCCCTCCCTCTGCAAAAATTGACACTTTGGATCTCTGGCTGTACCTGGTAAGACATGGGTCATACGGCGGCAGCCTAAGGCACCTTTACATGCCTTTGGCAAGACCACATTGTAGCTACGTCCTTTGCAATTCAGCTCATGCTGCAAGTAAGGACGATTAGCCCCCCTTTTTATATAGGATAGTCACAGTGCTTTGGAATGCCGTTCATAACTTGCCCCGCTCCTTACCGGCCAATTGAAGTACAGATGGGTGAGCTTGTAGGTCAGGCTTTGCATGCTGTCTGGTGCCAGACCCGACTTGTCCCAGATCACATTGTAACTGGTTGGAGTGACCGTGCCCTGGCGTACAGACTGACTGACAAGGAAGAAGTCGTACCTGCAGTGTGGACACAAAATGGAGACCGGAGTGTTACATACATGTTAAGTCAAAATAAATTATACTGGTTTAGAATTTAAAGTTTCTGATTCCCAGCTCTTCAACACTCCAAAATTTGTTCTACAAATGAATCAGCCAGCATATAACTGCAGTGCAACAAAAGTATTTTGTCTTTGACATGAAAAATTACCAAATCCATCAAAACTGGTAATGAAAACTTTCGTCAGTCCATTTGTTTTTATTTTAGTAAAAACATTGAAACATGCCAGCGGCTCGACCACGTCACGGTTGTAGCCGAGTCCTTCGCAATTCAGCATCTCAGCTGCCAGTAAAGATAATAAGCCTCCCCAATTATTATATTATTATTATATCCCTACAGACCATGTCACTTGTGAGGTCATACTGAAAGGCACTACAGGCAACCTAAACACTTACCGGTACATGTAAGCATCTTATTTAAACACTGTCAATATAGTGATACTTAATTATTCGATATTATTTTGATATCGATATCGCCGACAGCAATTTTTTTTTATCATATCAAAATATTGGTTATTGAGGAATCATATCGAAAATGCGTCATATTATCGTCAAAATCAATCTCCTGTTGGTGCTTTTACTTTGTGTTGAACGTTTGCTGTATAATGAAGTGAAACTCGGCGGCAAAATGTGCTTGTGACTCAAAATAACAAAGAAAACATTCACATTCCAAGAAATATACACACAGTGCAGAATTAAGAGAACAGTTTGCTGAAAGTTGGCATCAAGTGACATAGTCTATAGTTGCAGAACAAACTGATGATTTTACGAAGCATTATTATTTTTGGTTAGTCACAGTGTACAAGGATAATAATTTGTTTTCTGTTTGATTTTTTCCAGTGAGTTGTTTAGGCCATCCAAAAAAGTCTCCGGTTTCTGGTATGGAGCTTGCCCCAAAAGTGGTGCAGTGACGCGGCTTTTTTTTTTACCTGTGTTTTTTTGCTTTAAATGTCGGCTGATGACTGCAAATGGTGCCTGACTAAACTTAGTGCAAATACATGGGAGTCCAGAGAGGCCACATAAAGCTTATTCTCGATCATAACCCTATCTAAAAACATGTTAAAATTGTGCAGCAGCAGGATTCCAGTCAAACCAGTGAGTTTGGCGGTTTTGAGACATCATCTTTCATTGAAAAAAAAACAACACTTTTTCATTTTGCAGATGCGCATGGCTACGGCGACGCGCGCGCATACCAGAAACCGGGGGGTTTTTTTGGCCTTACTTACAAGTCTGGTTTGGTGACCACTGAGTCGATCACCGTTCCTGGGGATGGGTTGACGAGATTTCCTTGGTTCAAGGAGCAAAATCTATTGTTGATTCTCTTCTTAACGACGACCACAGCGCACTTAGGGCTGGACACAAACAATCAAAGACAACATTGGTACAGTCTTGTCTATCATGACATAAGACACTGGTAAACAACACTTCTATGACAAAAAGCAAAATGTAAAAGATTCAAAACGGGAATATAATATGAGGCAACAACACAGATAAACCGTGTCAAATATTTTGTGGTGCTGCTAAGTATACATTTTGTGCAGCAAGTTAGAATTCTTATAAAAAAAATTCAGCTGAGAACCTCACACCAAGTGACATTTTTATTGGTTATTCCTTTATTTTTTTTTACAATAAGCCAAACTGTTCTTTGCACTCAAGGAAATTTCTGGCCTTTGCAGCTCTGAACATGGCTTCAGGGCCCAGTTTAACAGAATTTACAAAGCACAAATTTACTTAGCAAACAAATAGTTGACTAGTACTAGACGGTTACCTGCTTAAAATGTTATATCATGTAGAATCGTAAATTGATGCAAATATAATAGTCTGAGATCCCAGAGAGGTTTAATTAGAATATCAGGCACAAAAGGTTTGATGGTGGCAGCGAGTTTGTTTCTGCATTCAATAGGGGACGTTGAACAATAGAGGACGATAGGGTCCCCAATTCCCGAGAGGTTTCCTATTTAGATTCAGGTACAAAACATATGGGAGGTCGTCCTAAAAAGTTAGTACAAACAAAAGAGGGACAACAGGGGGTCCCCGATTGCAGGCAAATACACACTTGTGTGGTTACTGACCTTCAGAACTGTCATAAGTCTCGCATCCTGTGCAACCTCCGAGATTTAAATTTTGGGGTTGGTTTCTTTAACAGGTACGCGGGTACCCGTGTTTTTTCAGTTGGGTACTGATTCCCAAAATAGCACACCCTACTTTTCAGCCACAGTTCACGTTCATAGTAGATTGTGTCATACCTTTGATGACATCAAAGCTACATCAAGCTCCTGGTGCCTTCCGCCGTCATAGTTTAGGCTGCTGTGGTTTAGCTTCACGAGATAGTAATCTCTCCATAAGCCCAGCCCAAGCCTTCTCCACCTAAGATACAATCAAATGGACAGACAATGCACAACTTATGTCAGCATGTTTTAATGAAATCGCTGTGGTAAGAGCTAGGGGAGGTGCGGTACTTTTAAACATGTGTATATACTTTGATAGAGAGTGTTTCCAAAATGCTATATCCGTTTGAAAAATGTGAGAAAAAAACAATTGCACGGTTATGAAAAGTTAATACATGTAGTACAAACACGGTATGACAGCCATAATTTGTCAACTACATTGTTCACGTATTAAAATTAATAAACGATCAAACTGACTTTGGGCAGCCAGGAGAGGGCGGGATTCCAAAATAGCATTTGTAGCGGTTTTGGGAAACAAAAATCTTCAGATATGTTTAAAATCCTGTTCGAAGAAAAGTATTGCCCAGGAAAGTTCATGTATGTAGTGGCGACTATTTCACGCACATTAAAAACGGCACTTGAAAAAGGTGGAGGCTAATTGTTTTTTTTGGGGGGGGGGGGAGTATATTTTCCCTTCTCTGACTTTTGCGTGAATTATTGGATTTCGTAAAACATGAAAAAAACTCAGGGGAAGGACTCAACAAAAAAAGGCTAAACCCAACGTGTACCTGTTTCTGAGTGACCTCTGGCTCCCAGAAGGTGCAGAAGACGACATTAGAATGATCCACACGTTCCTGGTTACTGAGCTGGGATTCTATGCGCTGTCGTGCCTTCTCCTCTGGTAGACGATCCCTGTCTAGAATACGCTTCAAGGCCTGGCAAAAAAATAAAATTGAAAGAAGATGAAAAAAAATAAACTACAAGGACCATGTCACCAAAGTAAAAATGCAGAAACAAATCTTACTCTAGTTATAATTTACACATTTTGAGAAGCTGAGTATCACATAATGAGAATGGAGTGTAAATTCAGAGTGACTGAGAAGTGCACATGACTGTTTCATTGAAGTGAATGATTCATGGGCATTTTTTAAAATTTTGCACTAAATATGGGCTAGTCCAATAATAACACTGTGTGCAAAGATGCTCAAAGGGGCGTGGTCTTGTCATAATGAATGAGGTGCGACCTATCTCATCCTTATGAATAATACATGACCACAACTTATAGTGGAGCTAATCCACCCAAGCTTCACTCATCAATGGAAGGCGTGACTGTCCTCATCCTTGTGAATTATGTATGACCACAGCTCATAGCAGAACCCAGCCCATCCATCTTCAATCTCCTAATTGGGGGTGTGACTCACCTCATCCTTATGAATAATGCATGACCACACCTCATGCCATAACCCATCCCACCCAGCTTCAATCATCCAATGAGAGGCGTGACTCACCTCATCCTTATGAATAATGCATAACCACACCTCGTGCCATAATCCATCCCACCCAGCTTCAATCACCCAATGGGAAAAGTAGCTCACCTCGTCCTTATGAATAATGCATGACCCATAGAGCTATATTAAATTACTAGAGCGCTAACTCGCGTAGAGCAAAATGACAGGCTCATTTGCTGATCGTGCATTTCGGTTTTGGGCGTATTGGCTTCCATAACGCACCGGTATGGAATACAAACGCAGATATGCAAATAGCCGTACAAAAGCCGTACACAATTTCTAGGTCTCCATAGGTTTGTGCACAAACATGGATGTGCCCAGCAGGCATTACTTTGTACACGAAGCTAGCGCTCTAGTAATTTAATATAGCTCTATGGCATGACCACACCTCATGGCAGAACCCATCCCACCCAGCTTTGATCTCTCAATGGGAGGCGTGACTCACCTCATCCTTATGAATAATGCATGACCACACCTCATGGCAGAACCCATCCCACACAGCTTTGATCTCTCAATGGGAGGCGTGACTCACCTCATCCTTATGAATAATGCATGACCACACCTCATGGCAGAACCCGTCCCACCCCGCTTCCATCAGCACGGCTGCATCCAGCACACACACCAGGCATCCTCCATCACCCAGGACCCTCATCTCCTCCCGAGCCATGCTGGCAATCTCCGGCCAGACGATCTGGTTCAGCCGGTCCAGACGGGATCGGTCTTGGAAGACGTTGGCACCAAGGGTATGCCTGTTAATGCTTCCATCAGCCCCAACAGCATCTGCAGAACAAATATATATTTACCCCTTGATGATTTTTAAAAAATCCACCAGCAAATTTTCCAGCCCAACACAGCACAAGATTTTTTGACGGTCCCAGACAGGACCAGCTTAAGTCCTTTTTATACCTCACAGACTCACTAACTGACAGTCACTCGTGAATTAGACTGGTCATTTATCTCACTGACTGACTATCCCTTATGACTTTAATACACCAGTCTAGGAGCAGCTTTACGAGGCTTGTCTATTCATTTAAGTCATGTTTCATCTACAGTGTAATTCATCGAACAAGATTAGAAGCCATTTTCTAGTGGTGCCATGCTCAAGCGCACGAAGCACACTTTCTTAAAGACGAGACGCGTGTGCATTGGTAGCCCTATTGGTCCAAGGACCCCTGAGTGTGTGCGTACTACCTGAGCGCGACTTGCACGAGCCTGGTGCTACCGCTGTGCCACCTCAGAAAATGACTGTCATTGCATTAGTGGATACCAGATGTCCATTAGACTGGCACAGCTTGTTATTTGTAACTTCATGATACATGTGTAGGCAGTAAGTCCATGCGAGGACCGACAGTGGATCTCTCATTTCCATCACGTAATACCACTACAGCTTATTCTACAAACTTGACAGCCATTTTCAATTCAATGAACGGGAGGTTTGCGGTAACACCACGTGAATATCTCTTTTGAGTTGTGTGGTTCTGAGAAGAACAGTTGTTTTAACTTGACCTTTTGAACAGTATGCTCTGTTTGTCATCAACCTCCTGATGACAAACACTGAGCACACTATTCGAAACGTCGAGTTAAACCAACTGGTTCTTAAGTAAGATTTGAGGCTTTGCATGGTGGAGATACTAATGAATGAAAGGTTTGCGGAAACACCATGTGGGAATAATTTTGTTCAAACTTTCAAACCAACTGGTTCTTCTCAGAACCACAACAACATTACAAAGAGATATCATTCACATGGTGTTACCGCAAACCTCCCATTCATTGTTCATGTCCACCATGCAAACCTTCAAATCTCATTTTCAATCCAACGACGAAAAGAATATGTTTTCCGCTCTGTGAATTTTGTCCACTCAGCTTTACTAGACTTGCCTTATCTTGTTGGAAAATACTTTGGAGTTTTTTTCCAGCACCCACCTCGTGCAAACTCAGTCAGCACTCTCCTGAATCCCTGCGTGCCTGGTAGGTAGGCCTTGTGCCCCAGCTTATCACAGTCAATCACTGCAGCACCAAGCCCCTCCAGCCGTCTACATACTGAAGACTTCCCGCTGGCTATGCCACCGGTCAGACCAATCATGTATGGGGTGCCAGGTAGATCTTTATTCTATGGGGAAACTTTAAAACAATTGACAACCATTTCAACCATTTTAAAGGGAATGTACATCATTGGCTTTTGCTGTCATTTTCAGAAATGAACTATTTGAGGGGTTAGTATAATAGATCAAATATTGTTACACTCACATGTTTAAAGTTTTGTCTTCGAAAATGCTGGAAAAACCAAGAAAAACAAAAACATTCAAGTAGTCTGGTTCCCTGACTCCACTAAGGATAAATGGATCAATTTATAGATGCCGGAAAATTGTAACGTAAGGGACCTAGTGTAGCTGGCCTGCACCAGTTCATGAACATGTAACCAAAAGCAAACAAAATTTGGACTGAAAAGGAATTGGTAAATTTGGAGCCGGAGTTGAAAAATAGTTAGGTTTTTCCAATGGTGGTCGGCAGACCACTGTTGGAAATGTACCGTATACAAAAATATCATTTTCTTGAAAACAACTTCACACCAGGTGCCAAAATTTTAATGGATGCTTTAGACTGTCATTTACCAACATCCTAGTAAGGTATTTTGTAAAAACTTGATAGTTTTATTTTTCCATGTTTGCAAATGTTGTATATTCCCTTTAACCAATTTCAAAGTCTTTTGTTAAAACTTGATTGAGTCCACATTCCAATAAGCCCTGCATACTGCACACGTGGACACCGTGCATTAATACCAAATTTAATTATAACAAAACCCAATGAAAATTAGCACTCTATCTCCTTTGTTCAAATCCTCAAGCCATTTAAAAATATTAGGTTTTTAAATTTGTTTGACCATTTTATAACTTTTGTAATATGCGACTCCTTTTCAGAATACGAGTTTATAAAACAGTTTTGTAACGTAATAAGTTGGGTCAATAATCTGGTGGTTTTAGTATTCTCATATAGCGCAATTCCATGGGTA